GACATTCATTGAGCATTAAAGAGATTTTAAGTCAAAATTTACCAATAAGGGATAGCTTATTTTTATTTTAAATGAAACATTAGGTGATAACTTAGATTTGTACTAAAGTTAGAGCATCCTAAATTCACATATATTATCAGCATGGGTGTTCTTGAATTTTGTTTAAAGTTACTGAGAAGTATCCCAAGCCAGAACCCTAAAACAGGACAATGAGACATTTAAGGCATTGGCTGTTAAAATTGTGAACAAACCCTTGATAGATTGATTACCTAACGGCAAGTATGACAAGGGTGGCCACAGATTTAGGAATAGCATTACCACCTCAGTAAAAAATAAACATGAATCTTACTAATTATTAATTTCATTGGATTTAATATTAGTGGATTAAAGTCTTGTGTAATAATCTATTCAATACATTTCAGAAGTATTTTGAATTTCTTATCCTTTAGTTTATCTCACTGCCACACTTATTCCCTACTTTTTTTTTTTCCTGCCACCACCTCACAAACTAAGTCCTCAGGCTCTCTTTTGCTTGAACTGTTTTCCGTGTCTTCAAAGTTTATTTTATCCTTCAAATTATTTTCTATGGTACTATGAGACAAAACTTTGTAAACTAGAGTTCTTTTTTTGCTTCTCTTTTGATGAGTCCTAATTTTCCATGGAAATAATTCAAACTCTTTAGTATGGTATGTAGTAAGTCTTCTACTTAATTTTCCAGCCTTCTCCCCAACTACTGCAAAATCTATATAATTTCTGTATCTAATGTAATCTTCTTCATGTACCATGAAATCCCCTTCACCTATGATTTTCTATCTTGCCCTTGTCTCATTCTGGATTTTTGCCTGAAATCCTACTGCTCCTCCAAATCAAAGTACAGATTCTATGCGCAATCCTTCCATTAATCCCAAATCCTTAGAGCTTCCAAAGCACTTTGGTCATGCTCATATTACAGCATTAATCATGTGCTGTCTCACATGTTAATTAAGAAGGTTATAGGTCTTATTAACTCCTCTGCTCCCTGGATGAGGTTCATGCATGACACCCCCTTAAATGTAAAATACCACACAATCAGCACAATATTTGTTGCATTAAATTGAAGGTTGAATATAGATGTCAAAAAAAGAGGACCACTATCATTGTTTATGAAGGTATTGAAAGAAAATTATTTTAGTGTAATCATAAGGAAATTTGTTGTAAATTTACTACTCTTCACTTTTTCAAAGAACATTCATTTTGAGTATTTCAAATCCCAGGACTAGTTCTGTACTGAGAATTCAAACATAGCTCATACCCAGTCCCCGCCTTCTAAAAACTCAAGACCAGGGCACTTCCCTGGTGGTCCAGTGGTTATGACTGCATGCTTCCAATGCAGGGGGTGTGGGTTCGACCCCTGGTCGGGGAACTAAGATCCCACATGCCACGCAGCATGGCCAAAATAAATCAATAAATTTAAATAAATAAATAAATAAAAGCTCAAGACCTAACAAGGAAGCCAGTCACACAAGTACAATTAACTATTGATATAATAACAATGCTATAAGTATCCCAGAAATGTTTGAAACAAGATGCCCTAAAAGCACAAAGCAATTAATTCTTGAAGAAAGGAGGTAGTAACAGGTTGTGGACCACCTAAGGATCTCTGATGTGGACCTCGAAAGAGAAACAGCACTGGACAAATGACGGAGAATCCACACTTGGAAGAGGCATGTAGGTGGTACATTCCTACATTCCTTCCATTTTGTCTTTTCTAGGCCTCCCTTCTTTAAAGTTTTAGGGACTTTTAAAAATAACCTCTATTTAAAAGGAGAAGTCACAAGCATGAAAATTCTTGCCACCTCAATATTCACCGGAACAGTTATGGAACAAATTGGTTGCAAATCAAATTAGCAAATCATAAAGCATCTTGGCAATCATTATTTTTTTAATTCAATGTTTTCAAATTTTCTAAGTCATTTCCCTTTCCTCAAATTAAGTTTTGCTAAGGTCTATATGCAGTTGAGGAAAAAAGTGCTGGTGTTTGTCCTGAGTTCCACCAGCTAGTCTTCCCTCCCCCATCAAGACTTGCTGATTTCTCACAGACCTAGGAATTTAGAGGCATGGTTTGAAAATTGCTGCTTCTAGACCAGCCACTTCCCTTATAATTGAGGAAACAGAGATCTAAAGAATATGAAGTACCTTGTACAAGTTCATAGCAGCAGTTAGTGGCAGAATAGGATATAGAAGTCCCTTAACTGCCACTCCACTGCTCTTTCAAGATAAAATTAGTTCTATTTACATAGCAAAATGAGCATGAGGTCCAACAGTCTCCCAAAGTGACATTTAGGACAGAGAGAGACTCTTTTTCATGATAAGACAAGACTTCATTGGAATTCAGTAAGTCGGTGTTAAGTAATTCAGAATCAATGCTAAGTCTTTTATTTTATTCTATCTTTCCTCCATTTTGATATTGAATTATGAGAAATGACAGCTCCCAGGCCCTCTAACTTCTTGATCCTAGACAAGGGAGATGGTTAAAGAAATTCATCTTAGTGATGGCACTGACTAGTCAGGCACTTTCCTGCTGTAGAAATCAAAGTTTCATGTATTATCTCCCCTAGTTTAGAAAGGCAAGAAAATACAAAGACCAAATGATTTTCTTTTCATCACATAGATTGTGAGGAAGGAGAACAAAATGTCTAGATTCCTTGACTAGTGCAGCATGTTATGTTTTACTTTAGAGATTAAGTGATTTTTATGCATATATACATACTTTGTTATATATATTTTGTGTGTATATATATAAACATACACATATATGAAGAAGGACTTAATCAAAATAATAAAATATATATGTGTTGTAAATTATCCTCCTTGTCCAGAAAGGTTAGTAAAACTTTGACCTAATGGAACTAAAATAATGTTGGAACTATATAAAGGAACTAAATAGATGGACCTACAATAAAAGAAACATATGTGTTTTTCTGTATAGACCCCTGCTGATGGGAATCATTAAATAAAATATTGTAGCTAAACAATTTGAAAGAAATGTGGATAATTTAAATAGCCTCATAATAAAACATGACAAACATTTGCTGAAAGGAGTAATGGAGATGCTTGTTTGTTAAGACAAATGAGTTAATAACTTTTGAGGGAAATTTTTAGCTGTAGAACCAAAATAACAAGGTATTGTTTACAAATATAATGCTAAGCTTGAGCTGAATCAAAACTGACAAATGATGATTTGCAGACTTCACATAAAGTCCTTAAAAATTACCAAGGCCATTGCTTTTGGAAGTTATGGATACTGTTGATTATTAATAGCACAGAAGTCATCTTACCTTCTTCCTAACAGAGCAGGGAATTGGAGACAATGCAAAATTCTCTCTTTCTAATTATACCATATCTGGATTTCACCTCTACAGTCTAGATGTCTGCCTGAAAGCATGGCCCAGCAAGAAGATGTAGATTAATTTTCTAAACAGACCACAATCCCCCAGCCTCTTCCAAAATTAGTGCTATTGTGTGCCACGATTTTCACATGATGTCACTAACTTCATCAATCATCCTGGAAAGCAGACAGAACACAATAAAGAGGCCGGCAGAGGAGGGTATCTTGAAGAAATACTTCATAACTTACAGATAGTAACCCCAATAGAAACTTCAGAGAAAAATTCATTGGAAACATTTCTGCTTTAAGACAGGCCCTGAACAATTCTTTAATTTGTAAGTCCTACCATTTTAAATATTTCTCCATATACATGCGATGTGTGCATGCACACACACACACCCCAAAAAGCCACTGGTATAAAAGAACCAATAATAAATTAGTAACTAGTTATTTGCTGAACAAAATAAAAACACCTTTATTTAAATTACAGGGTTGCCTATATTTTACATCTCAAATTATTTCAAAATATTCTTCCAAATTGTTCTCATACGTTGAATTCATCTGCTTCCTTCGAAGTAGAAAAACATTCGTTAAAACTATATGGTCTGCAATGGAAATGATTTTATCATGAAAGGTTTTAAGTTAAGCCATTCTCTAGTCATGTATGCTGCTAGATGATAATCTTTATTTTAGAGACCAACTCTGTAGGAATTGTTGTATATTGAATTCTTTTTATTAGAGCAAGGGGACTTCAGGCATAGTCTGAAACTCTGTCTCGGAAAAGGAAACTCTGTCTTGGTGGGGTGGGGGCGGGGAGTAAGATGTCCAACCACTTTCTGCATGACTGGTCTCCAAGTGCATGATGAAGTGGAAAAATATAACATACAAAAGGGATATTTATGTATCTTCCTTCTTCATCAGATACACAGTATTTTTTCTCCCATGTCACGAAAATTGTAACTGCAATTTACTAGTATATGCACAAATTGCTATTGATTTAGCGATGCATTTCTTTGATGTCTCTTGCCTTAACCTCATTTATAAAGCTGTTTTGCATTATTTCAAACTGTCAATGATTTGTGACTCATGAATATTCAAATCTAATTTGCACTTACCTTTTTGGTATGCATGCCTACTTGCAATATGTCTCTACATTTGCCCTTTTGTTTTTATCTGTGGATTGTTTTATTAAAATAATACTCCTTTAAAAGTATAGTAAGTCTGTTTAAAAACAACAGGAGTGGTTGATGATTGACTCTTCTTGGTCTCAGTACACTATCTCTATATTTTGCTACTTAGCAAGTTTAGTCATTCTGCAAAGATGTCTCTAGTATTAAAACAGCCATACTTTTGCTGGTTGATGTCAATTTCAGTGAGTTGTGTTTAGCTTTGCTTGGCTGTGTGTCTCTAGTAAAGAATCAACTATTTTTAGATGAATTTGAGCCTTACAAAGAAAGAAAGAAAAAGAAAGAAGGAAGGAAGGAAAGAAGGAAGGAAGGAAGGAAGGAAGGAAGGAAGGAAGGAAAGAAGGAAGGAAGGAAGGAAAAAAGAAAGGATTATTTCTGGTAGAAAAGCAAAAAGTTCATGCAGAATTGAGCCCTTCATGTCAGTGTGGATCAACTTTTCCACTTACCTTGTGGAATGCAAGAAATGAAACCTAATGCTCTCAAACACTAAAAAAAACCCTTTTAGATGTCTTTCAGATGATGATAGCTAAAAGAGACACCTAGGACTTTGTGGATTGCTGGCATGTCACTAGTGATTGAAGGTCCAAAACAGCAGAGCAGGGAGCCACCTGCCTATGGAATGGGCAGAGTTTCTTCTTGAAAAACCTGTTCAGGGACAAATGGAAAGTGTCATATGAAAAAAAGAAAAAAAAAAGGAGTAAAGAACATTTCTTTTGTAATTGATTTCTGGACTCAATTGTGATTTCTGAGAACATCCAAACAATGAAATGCCCTACTTTGCCAAAAAAGAAAAACATTTTCAAATATTTATTTTTTCATGCCAATAGCTAAAATAGAAAGAAGTTAATAATATTGACAATGCAATAGTTGGTGTTTCCTTAATTTGTGTCATGTTCAATTTCTAAACCACCTACAAAGCTACAAAGAAATTGTTGATCACCTATTGCCTTCCATCATGCAATAACGTTGTCCCCACATTCACGAAATGATGCTGCATAAAGTATGGCTGCGGGTCTTGGGGCAGCCTATCGGGCAAACAACATATTTTTCTTTTTACAAATTTCTCATTGTCCTTCAATTGTACATAGTCCCTCAAGAAATAGGATCTCCTTCCAAAAGCCACTAAATTTCTAACTAATCTCTTTTGTAGTCATTTTTTCACTTAGAAAACCAATTTTTTAATTACTGGGGAAATGTTTTGCTGCCATGATATTTTATTGTTTGTGTGTGTTTAAACAAATGTCCTTTATTTTTAAAAAGTTCATAGTTTTCCCACCTTTATAATTTTCTTTATGATAGTGATATCATTATTTCCTTCATTTTGAAAACCAAACATCACAGATTTGCTGGAACCCACAACAGGCTACCCAAAGTGACCCCTCAACAGTATGCTATTGTTGTTGATACATCTAAAAGGTTTATTACATCCTGATCTCTGACTCATGATCAGAGAACTTTGTTCTGGAAGATAGAAAAGTGTTAGGAACAAGGGTTCTCGCATTATGTTCCTCGATTCTACTACTAACTAACTGTGTAAATTAGAGTTGCCTAATCTCTGAGAGGCTTTATATTCTCGTCTAGGATGGGGAGAATAATAGTGTCTACCTTAGATTGTTGTGAGAATTAAATGAGAGTATTCAGATACAATGCTTACCACACTGGCTAGCCACTGGTCAGTGCTAAATACGGAACAGCTCTTCCGAAAGCCCAATGTTTGCCAGAAGTTGTACCTAGTTTCTGGTCAACTCTATTTTAAACTGAGAAAAAGTTGTCTTCCCAGAATCTAACCCTCTCCCTCCCACCCCACCCCCATTTTGTACCAGTAACACAGCTAAAGTGTTTGCTCCTACCTTCAGGACTGGGTCCTCCTCTAACCAGTAGTTGTTTCAAGACACCTGGTTAAGTCTTCTGCAAAGATGTACGGATGAGACGTGAGGGGAAGTTTGCTGGGGCCTTCTCAAATTTTTTGCACCCATCTTCCCACAACAATATCCAAAGAAAGAGAAACAGGCTCTCTTCCTCCGGGTTGTTGGGGGAAGATACGAGGCTCAGAACTGCTGAGGTCATCTGGCTCTCAGCCTGAGGATACATTTGATGCCCATAAGAGGGCAGAGCCAAGAGAACTGAAAGGAAAGAGAGACGGAGCCTGCTTCACTTCTTGCCAGTGACATAGCTTTATTCCCTTATTGCTCAAGCCAGTCTGAATTGGGTTTTCTGTTACTTGCAGCCAAAAACGTTCTGATTCAGAGAGGCAGCCAAAAAACAATGTATTTTACATATTAGCTCATAGCATGACACTCATTCACAGAGCAGAGCAGTCCAGTGCTTGGAATTTACATGAGTGTATAAACATCTTATAATCCCTCCTGCCTTTTCTAAGTCAATGTCCAAGCCACATCTCCACAACGTTTTTTTCTGTTTTGTGAAACAAGAAAAAAGATTAAAAGTGAATCCTCCAAGATTTCTCCAGTCTCCTGAACATCCAGCAGAATCCACAAAATGCTCTTTTTGCTTTTGTAAGAATAGAATTCAAGGCAAGTGTGCCACCTCTGGCTTGCTGCTGTAACCTCATCTCAGAGCCACAGCTTGCAGAATTTTAGTGCTTAAAAATGTTCTCAATCTTACATTCTTTGCCTTCTAGGAAACCACAACCCAAAGTAGAATGGCACCACATGCATCTAATTCAGTGGCATGAAGCCTAAGTGGAAACTATTTTATGATTTGTTACATGGTTTGATATTCCTAATTCTAGCTGACCAATTTAACCTGCCATATACAACCTCAAAATAAGATAACCTTTAAGCCTTATTTGGCATCTATATCAGAAGGGTAAATTTAGTTTGCTTGAGTTCCAAGAAACCAAGATAGTGATTTATATGATCAAAATTGGCGATTCCCAACTAAAATGTAAACAATAAACTTTTTATGGTACCAAATCAGTTCAGTCTTTCTCTCCCCTCCTTCCCACCCCATCTGCCCCAAGCTATCCATGATTTAATCTTATCAGGAGCTCTCAGGATTATACTTCCAGTACCCCTTTGAATAGGCAGTGAGAGGAGAGACCAGGTAATTCTCTATTGCCCTAGATTATGTAGAACACAGATCTGGAGACATCCTTAGATATTATCTAAAGGGCCAGCCACAGATAATGCCAGAGACGTGCTGAGGGTCACAGTGCTGGAAGCAAATCCTTTAACTCTTGGGCCAGCATCACTTCCACCATATACCACTATGCCTTTCATATAAAGTGGCCCTTAAAAGATGTATGAATGAATATATTACTCATTTTAATCTGTGGGGTGGCTCTCTGTTGCTTAATATATCTCCATGAGACTCTAAGTACATCATATCTCAGCTTTATGGTTATTTAAAAACACTATGTTTTGTATTTTAAGATACAGAAAGTCAAGTCACTGCCTTTTCTTGCTCTAGATTTCTTTATAGCATGTAAGAAAATGTCCTTTATTGTGCTTCCGAAAACTAGAATAGAATAATTAAAGATACGTTTTAAAATATGGTTTTCTTATTGGTCCTCCTATGCTGGAACTTGATCAGCAGGCATTGGTGGCCATTGTGACTGTGTTCTGGCCACTAGTCACACAGAGGGAGTTTCCAGCCCCTGAATGAGAAGCTCCTTTTGTCCATCTGACAAATATCAATCCAAGAAACCAACAATGGAGATAACTTGGCTAATTACAAACATGAAGTTTTAATAGAAGATTTTCAAAAATCTAGATAAGGAATGCACCAGTAAATTAATTCAGGTTCTTACCTTAATTTGTCGTGGTACCTTAAAAATTATTTTTCAATGTCTCCATTTTCCTAACTCTAAAGTGAAAATAGTTATATTGGTCATATATTTCCAAATACTGCTTTGAGAACTAACAAGACCATAAAACACATACTTTCATAGGTTCACATTTTGTTGATCTTACATGAATATGTGAAGTTCATAAATCATTGTGACAAAATTATTACCCACACACAGAGGAAGAAAACTGGTATTTAGAAATCAAGTGATTCAGAAAGAAATCAAAGATGACACAAACAGTTGGAGAGATATACCATGTTCTTGGATTGGAAGAATCAATATTGTGAAAATGACTATCCTACCCAAAGCCATCTACAGATTCAATGCAATCCCTATCAAATTACCAATGGCATTTTTTACAGAACTAGAACAAAAAATCTTAAAATTTGTATGGAGACACAAAAGACCCCAAATAGCCAAAGCAATCTTGAGGGAAAGAAACAGAGCTGGAGGAATCAGACTCGCTGACTTCAGACTATAGCACATAGCTACAGTAATCAAGACAATATGGCACTGGCACAAAAACAGAAATATAGATCAATGCAACAGGATAGAAAGCCCAGAGATAAACCCATGCACCTATGGTCAACTAATCTATGACAAAGGAGGCAAGGATACGCAATGGAGAAAAGACAGTCTCTTCAATAAGTGATGCTGGGAAAACTGGACAGCTCCATGTAAAAGAATGAAATTAAAACACTCCCTAACACCATACACAAAAATGAACTCAAAATGGATTCGAAACCTAAATATAAGACTGGACACTATAAAACTCTTAGAGGAAAACATAGGAAGAACACTCTTTGACATAAATCACAACAAGGTCTTTTTTGACCCACCTCCTAGACTAATGGAAATAAAAATAAACAAATGGGATCTAATGAAACTTAAAAGCTTTTGCACAGCACAAGAAACTATAAACAAGATGAAAAGACAACCCTCAGAATGGGAGAAAATATTTGCAAATGAATCAACGGACAAAGGATTAATCTCCAAAATATATAAACAACTCATGCAGCTCAATATCACAAAAAAACAAACAACCCAATCAAAAAATGGGCAGAAGACCTAAACAGACATTTCTTCAAAGAAGACATACAGATGGACATGAGGCACATGAAAAGCGGCTCAACATCACTAATCATTAGAGAAGTGCCAATCAAAGCTACAATGAGGTATCACCTCACACCAGTTAGAATGGGCATCATCAGAAAATCTACAAACAACAAATGCTGGAGAGGGTATGGAGAAAAGGGAACCCTCTTGCACTTTTGGTGGGAATGTAAATTGATACAGCCACTATGGAGAACAGTATGGAGGTTCCTTAAAAATCTAAAAATAGAATTACCATATGACCCAGCAAGCCCACTACTGGGCATACACCCAGAGAAAACCATAATTCAAAAAGACACATGCACCCCAATGTTCATTGCAGCACTATTTACAGTAGCCAGGTCATGGAAGCAACCTAGATGCCCATCAACATATGAATGGATAAAGAAGATGTGGTACATATATACAATGGACTATTCCTCAGCCATAAAAAGGAACGAAATTGGGTCATTTGTAGAGATATGGATGGACCTAGAGACTGACATACAAAGTGAAGTAAGTCAGAAAGAGGAAAACAAATATCGTATATTAACGCATATATGTGGAACCTAGAAAAATGGTACAGATGAACCAGTCTCATCTGAGACCAGTCTGTCTCTCAGAAATAGAGACACAGATGTAGAGAACAAACATATGGACACCAAGGGGGGAAAGCGGGGAGGGGGGATGGTAGGATAAATTGGGAAATTGGGATTGACATATATACACTAATATGTATAAAATAGATAATAAGAACCTGCTGTATAAAAAATAAATTAATAAAAAAGAAATCAAGTGATTCAAAGTAAAAATTCTGATCTTCTCATACTGGGTAGGTATATCTAGTTTAAAAGTTTTTGTTTAATTCGAAGTTGAAGTAGGATCCTTAAACAGAATCACTAATTTCTTTTTAAAGAAATACTTCAAAACCAGCTGCAAATCAATCATAAGTGAAACAACACCTAGAATCCCTGAGATTAGTGATCAACAGGAAAACAACATGAAATTACATTCAAGTAACCTTTCCATGACACCTTCTCTCCTCTTCTGATAGTCATTAAGGTCTTCTAAACATCCAACTTAAGAAACATGAAAAGGCACAATAGAATCCTATTAGTCATAAAATATTACAAATAAAAAAGGTGAACATGTATATAGATATAAAAGACATTAAAAACATAGTATGAAAAGACTGATATACATCATTATGCAAGAAGTTTGAAAACTTAGTTGATGTTGATAAATTCATATAAAATTATAACTTACCAAACCTGACTCAAAAAGATGAGTAGATCTGAATTTTCATGCAATAATTATTAAAGAAATTTAATCAATAATTAAGAACCATTTTTTAAAAGAAAAACAAAATTATTTTAGAGTAAACCCAAATTTTTAAGAAACAGATGATTTCAATCATATATTAATTTATCTAGAGAACAAAATTGGGGTACCTTCCTAATTTAATTAATTATATGAAGCCAATATAACCTTATTACTAAGAATAGGCAAAGATGATAACAAACTTAAGTGGAAAAAGAGAAAAGAAAAATTGCTGACCATTTTCTTGCACCAATAGAAATTCAAAAATCATAAGCAAAATTTTGTTAATCTAAAACTAGCTGTGTACAATAAAGTTAGTATCCTGATCAGCTTCGATGTAGTCCAGAGATGCAAGAGTACTTTAATATTAGAAAAACTATAAATAAAGTCCCCCATAATAACAGGGCAAAGGGAAAAAATTATCATGTTATTACATATAGAAACACCATTTAACAAAATTTAACTCTCATTTATTAAAAATTTAAAAAAGCTCCTAGAAAACTAGGCATGGGGGAAATTTTTTTCCTTAATCTGATGAAGATTATTATCAATTAACTACAGTAAACAGCATTCTTAATGGAGAAATGCTAGAAATACTCATTTAAATTAGAAAAGATATAATGATGCCCACTATTTAAGAATGTTTCTTTTCAACATTGTCCTGGAGAGCTGGTGCTAGAAAAGGCAATACGACTGAAAAAAGAAGAAAGAGAAAAAGGAGGAGGAGGGATAAGAGGAGAAGGAGAGGAAGGAGAGA